TTAGTAACCCGCTGCCCTGAGAAGTAAACCCTAAACCCTAGTATTGCCCACCTTTCCTCGAAAAGTCTCAGATGACGCCGACCTCAATTCGTCCCAGCTCTCCCGTTCTCGCCTTTCCCCCCTTTCCCCGGTTTAGGGGTTTGGGGTTTAGGGTTTAGGGGTTTAGGGTTTAGGATTTAGGGTTTAGGGTTTGGGGCTCAGGGGGTTTAGGGTTTAGGGTACACCATTCATACGCAAAGCTTCAACCACCTTTGCGTTCCGTTCACCTCGGTGCTGACGTTCACGAGCACGTCCAGGAGTTCTGGCGGGCCAAGCTTCAAACGAAGAGTTTCGAAGTCACTGTCCTCGGACGGGTTGGATTTCAGAGGAGCAAGGAAACTTTGCCTCGAACGAACAACAGAATGTCATCCAGAGGTTCACACAGGAACACCCCGTTGCTCATGGGGTTCGGCTGGGGAGATTTGTGAGGAGGGGGCGTCTCTACAAAACATGGATGCAGCACGCTTCGTCTGGACTCCATCGCTGCTTCTTGGAGAGCTTAATATGGCTTCCATAACTGCTTAATATGGTCGTAACAAGGGTTTATTGTGGCCTTAATAAGGGCTCAATCAGGGCTTAACCCCAGATCTGCTCAGCTCCGGCAATGCCAAGGTTCCAGCTGCTGCTCACCGACTGCCAGCGCGAGGCTCAGGCGCAACGCTGCAAACTTCTCAATCCAGTCCTGATACGACAGAGAGGCCATGGCTCGCCAAGCCCCCGGAAAGGAACATGACAAACGGAAACCAATTCAAGTCTTAGACCCACTCAACCCATGCTAGTTCTGGTTGTAAACTCTCTTTCTATTTCCGACCAAGTGGCCGGCTGCACCTCTGGGAACTTCAGAACCCACTGACCTGTGGCTTCGGCACGTCGGCATTCAAAGCCCTGGCCCTTCACTTGGCACAGCCGACCACTTACCGAGCGATCCAAGAAGTGCTCTGCGCTGTCGCCACCTTGCCGCGGAGCAAAAAAACACCTATAGCCCGGCTTAGCGATGAAATGAGAGGAGATCATGTGACCCGTGCAACTGAGTGCCGCTGTATCGTAGTGTGTGGTTTCCTGTAAACTCTGCGCAATCCTGACAGTTTTCAGCGGAGCTGCCGCTGCATGCGTCAGGCGGTCGGATCGCCAAATAGCAACCGGTATTGCCATGCATGGATTGAAGACAATGGGGATCGTGGTGGCAATGCTCATCGCAGGCACCTGCGCCTCATCTGCGCAGCTCGCGAAACACAAATCAAACTCAACCGCTGTCGAAAGACCATATGGTCTTAGTCGAGGCAGAGCTGGCTGGCACTTGAAGATCGGCGTGTCTGTCCCTGAGCAAAATGCTCTTACTCTTGCCCACAATGCAGCTCAGTTGCATGATTGGTTTGCATCTTTACATGCACTGATCGCGCAGAACTTTGTGAAGGTTGCTGAGGCACAGGAGGTATCACACGTCTTTGGAATGTTCACCTGGTAGTCCGTGAGGGTGACATCGATGCTCAACGACTGGGAAGGCGCATCTTGTGGAAGTTCTGGCAGGCTGACCACAGATCCTCCAAGCGGAACTCACAGGGGGCAGAAGATCGCAGTTCAAGAAGATACGACAAGAGATCGGCATCCAGGCGGCATTCAGAATGCATGCATTTAGTATGACGGGTTTCACAATTCCAAAGGCCGAATAGTTCGAAAATTGTAGGATTAGGGGGACCCATCGTAATATAGACCGTCTCAATAAGGTCCCCTTTAAGAGAGCCATAAGTAGGGTTCAGAAGGGTCCCCTTTAAGGGGTCTCCCGAATACTACCCAGGAATACCCAGGCCTGGGATTGCTCCCCAGGGCACCTCACGCAGAAAGCTACCAGCCCTGATGGTGACGGTGTGGGGCAAAGTGGCAACAGGAGAGAAAGCAATGTCATAGGTCTTGGAGCTGTGTAAGCCTTCCACTTCCACCTCGCGAAGGAATTTCGTAAGGAGAATTAACGCCAAGAAGAACGGGGTGGGGTTGCAGGGGGTTGTGAAGTGTTGCTACAGACTAGGTCTCGCAGAACCTTCCGGCTAGGTAGTTCACACGTGAACAGCGCATGCCTGTATCTCGTGTTCTTGTCACCAGCCGGCACGAGTCAAAACCAAACTACCACCTCCAAAGGTCCGATGTTCATACGGTTGTGTAGCCTAAACAGTCGCCCCAGCAGACGCGCAAAGAGCTGTACCAAGTGCGTTGACGGCCACCTGAGCGATACGTGGCAAGGGCACCATGAGCTGCACCGGCTCTGTCGTGGCGCTTTGGTTGGTGGTCTGCGCATCGATACGCAAGGCCTTCGTGGAAGACTCCTCCGCACTGGCGACCACAAAGGCTTCCTGGCAAGACGGAAAGTCTCCCAGGCCAGAGGCTTTTCGGGTAGTTCGTACGGCAGTTTGAGTAGAGCCTATAAGGGAGTAATAGTTCCTAGGCTGTTGCACAGCTTCTTGAAGCAGCGACACTGTAAGATAATTGTGCGAAAGATGAGGTGCTTGCTTTGCTTCTTATTTGTTCGTGTTCTAATTAGCATAGCCATGATCTGGTTCCCATGCCATGTGCTCGTCCTTGAAGCTCTGGTCCAAACTCACCGAATATTTCTGCACCCACGGGTGGAATTGCAGCTGGCCCGACGCGAGGCTCAGATGGCTTAGTTGCGGCACGCTGCATAGGTAGAAGATCGATTGCAAAGAGGACGAGAAGAGCAAGAGGGCCACCATGATCAGGAACATCCTCAAGCGATCCAACATCTGGGTAGTTCTCTAAATTAGGGTATTTTTTGGGGTCCTTTTTAAAACTATAATGGGGACCGGAAAAAGGACCCTAATTTAGAGAACTACCCATCTCGAAACATCGGACTACATGAACAACGTCACAAAACTGATCTGGAAATCTACACTAACTGGAATTTGTTCCCTCATAACCAACACGTAACAATGATCCAACCTATAAAGTCCTATCAGAAGTAGCTCAGCAACCCTAAACCCTAAACCCTAAACCCTAAACCGTTAAATCTATACCACCCGCTGAGGCGCGGCAGGATGACGAAGCCGACGAAGGATCCGGCCATGCCGCGCAGCGCGCGGCCGTACCAAAAGACGTCCCGCAGGAAGCTGAAGCGGGGGAACTCCTCATCTGGGGTTTCAGGGTTTAGGGTTTAGGGGTTTAGGGTTTAGGGTTTAGGGGTTTAGGGTTTAGGGTTTAGGGTTTAGGGTCATCTGGGCAATGATACGGTTGCCGATATAAATCCTGCAGTACCCATAATAAGGAATATACCTCATAGTTTAGGGTCCTTAAGGTAATGCAGGATTTATATCATCAACAGTCTTGCGAGGTTTGTGGGCAAGAGTAGAAATTTGGAGCGTAGTCTGACTTAGTAGCTTTATGATGGTGGCTGACCCTGGGGCGAATGTCCTGCTGTGTGCCACCCGCTGCTTGCAACGTCTTGACTAGGTCGGCAGAGCCCAAAGAACGACCTGCCGACGTTGGCGCTGGGGCAGCCATTGAGATCAGTTAAAGCCCGCACAGTTTGGGGTTTGCAGGGAAATTTGTCCAATGGAAAGAGCTATACCTGTCCTTTACAGCAGTTCTTTGACTCATGATGCGCACTGGCCTGCAGAGATCATCACGCTGAACGGAACCATTCGCAATTCTCCTTTCCTTGGACACATTTTGAACAAATTGCAAGAACACCATGAACAATCTAGATATGGGACATGATAACACCTCCTCCTACCACAACCTTTGTTGCCCTCGACAAGGCATCCAAAAGGTACAGTAAAACCGGAACAACCAAGACGTCAATTCAGGCCCAAAGAATGGAGAACGAGCCAATATACCTTAAACTCAATCTATCAGTGACCAGGTGGCAAAAGCCGCCTTTCGGCGCAGCTGGCCTTCACCAAACCCGGCTTCGGAGCAGCCAGAAACAGCTCCTGCAACGCCTCCAAGCGGTGGCTGCCTTCGGTCTGTCGCAGAGCGGCTTCCTGGGTGCGAACCTTCTGAAGCTCACCTCGGATCTGCAGCAGTTTAGGGTTTGGGGTTTCGGGTTTGGGGTTTAGGGTTTAGGGTAATTAGGTATGAACCCACCAAACCACGCCGCCCGCGAAGTAATTAGTTCGTTACTTGCACTCCGGAGAAAGAACGTCCTGGCTCTCCAAGCCGCCGAGGATGCTGAGCGTAGGCCCCGCAAAGAGACCCACCACCAACGCCAGCAGCACCCAAAAGTGGACGTGAGCCAAGGCGACAACAACGCAGACGGCTAAAACACCCGTGCCGGCGGCAGTGAAAAGGTCCTGGTTTGGCTGCGAGAATCATCGCAACGGAGCGCAACTGCAAGCTTGAAACTAATATGTGGCTCAATGCATTCAGGGTGGACAAGCCAAACGCCAAAGGACAGAACATACTCGGCGAAAGACTAACTTGCCTTGCAGAACCTATGCTTCAAGCTGGGGCCAAGCATCGTTTCTAGTGGCACTCGCTGGCCTGGTAAGGCAAATGCCATGTTGGAGGGCTACGTGGGCCAGTTGCAGCTGGCAAAGGCTATGAAAAACTCGGAGGAGACCGGCCACGCCAAAGATACAAGGCCACAGAAGCACGAAGAAGACCAGCTTCGTCCCAGCTTCCTGTCAACAACACGCCACGAAGTCGTCGCACAAGCAAACCGCAAACTGCATCCGCGCAAGTCCTTCTTCACCTGCTCCAGCACGACGGTCTGCAGAGAGATCATCAGCGTTACAAACCTGAAAGCCTGCATCGCCCCGTTCTTCAAATCCTCAGGTTGAGCAGACGCTACACGTGCGAGCTGAACCTGTGAGCCCTGGGGCCACCTGCAGCGGCAAAGAACAGCCTCAAAACCTGAGGTAGGGTAGCTCGGGTTTAGGGTTTAGGGTTTTGGTGGCCTCATCTTCAAAGGGACGGTTACTACTCCTGCCTAGCTCAGGAAGGCCAAGCATCCGCAGCAGGATCTGGGATGATCACGGCATCCATGCCTAAGACGCGCTGACACGCCCTTTTTTCATGCCTATTCGCAATTTCGGAACCGAAGCAGGTGATGCTCAAAAAAAGGGTAGCAAGAAACTCAGGGAACCTTTATCTAGCTACATGTTCTTCCGCTTCGCAGCTCAAGCCTCAACAACTTCCGAAGCTGCTGAAAGTCCTTTCCGGGCAAGATGCTGTCTGCTTCCCTGGTCGGGGTCTCTGCTAGCCTGCCCTGCTTAATCTGGTAGACTGTGTGGATGAGGGAGAGGGTCAAGAGCAAGAGCACCAGAACCGCGAGCGACAGCGTCCCATCCAAAAGACCTCAGATAGGGGACTCATGAGTCGGGTCTTAGGGTTTAGGGTTTAGGGTTTAGGGTTTAGGGTTTAGGGTTTAGGGTTTAGGGTTTGTCGATGCTCCGCGCACACCACCACGCGAGACGTGTGTTGTGGTGTGCGCCTAAGTTCAACGCTCCCTCCCTTCCCGCCCACCCAGTCTACGACCTTTGTCGGGTTTAGG